TTTAGGAAACTCTAATTCCATGTAATTGGTCTAGCTGATCAATGATGGCGTGCAAAGAGAAACAAACGACAACGAAAGTGAAGTGATTGGAGCAGGACATTCTTTCTTTCAAGTAATACTATTTCATAACCCACTGCCAATAACGCTCTTAAATCATTGTAAAGGAAGAGAATCTCATGGGGTCACAATGCTGCAATTTTTTAAGAAAGCCGCATTATTACATTCTTTGGGATTTAACAGTATACCAGTCCCTTAACAGACCACAACACCAGCCTGCCATGGCACCAACTGTGTGAAGTTGTGGATTAAAAGCTGCAAAACTTCATGAGCATGCTAGGACTGTGTATCATTGCTTACTGATGACACAAAGTGAAAGATCTACATTCCATATAATACAGATACTGGTTATGAACCAGCTTCATGGCAGGGATCAATCAGTGCTCATTACTAAACGTCCTGGCTCACAGTCCTAAGATCTGTTTTGAGAGCAGAAGTGGCTACTGCTCCTTCATCTGCTTAATGGAGATGACTACACCAGTATCACAGCTATTAGAATGCATTCTTTAGTATCAGTTTCTCATCCCAGTGTACTAATCCCTCAGTTCATGTTAATACACCATGTCAGGGCTCACGAGAGTTGAAGAAGATAACTACCACCCATTGTGCAGGCCATGCCACCATCCAGAGAGGAGCAGTGTTGGCTGCTTTGGGCAGGAAGAGTGCCAGCTGCTAGAGTTAATAACCACCCAAGAGCAAGAACCAACCCAACACACACACAAAAAAAATTATTGAGGACAATCTGAAGCATTTCTCTTTCCATACAAGTGATTGTGCACCTTTCAGAGCAGCTAAACTTTCTACAAGCTAAAAATGCTGCAAAAGTACATGTAATGTAATGACTTTACCTATTTTGCTAACTTAAGCATTTTCCTGCAATGTGTATTAATATAGTAGCAAATTAAATTAAAAAAAAAAAAAAAAAGTTAAAACATACAGAAGCCTTTCATTCTACAACATTTACAGAAGAACATGAAAGAGATTTGATTTTTCTGTATCTCAGACAGCTTTGTCAAATACTCAAACTGGAAGGTACAGCACTGATGGTAGTAAGTTATCTCAAGTTTGTCACAAGAAGTAATTAAGTCTTCTGATGGAGAAAAAAAAGTTACCACAGAGTCAGATCAAGGGCATGGTAAAGTACCAGAGCAATGTGACTAACTGTTCTTTTCTCTTTTCTTATTATTTTTTGTCTCACTGTATAAAAAGAAGCCTGAACTTGTACTTTGAACTTTTATTAAGAGCATATGAATAGGAGCCAGTCAAGTTTGCTGCCCCCCTTTTTTTTTTTGGCTTTGCAGACAGAGAAATATACTGACTATCTTCAGGCACTTTCTATCTGATAGGCAGAAACATGAGCATGAAGAAGACAAACATTATTTGGAATCTGCTTACAGAATAGATTTTTTTACTTGCTTTTATCAGCTATCTGCATCAGAATTTGTTTTAGCATATATTAACTCCAACGTATGCCGCTTTGGTAGAAAAATCACAAGCAACAATACAGTATTCTTACTTTCACATCTGCAGCTAATGGGTACAAATGACTACTATAATTTTAAAAATTCAAACCAGTGCTTCAGAAACATCTTTTCAATAATTAACTGCTCTCAAAATCATAAAAAATGCATTATGACAAGTAATTGCAGTTTAGGACTGCAGAAAACGAAACTATAGTGATGGAGAAGAGGCCTCTAGCCATAAAGACTTTAATTTTCTTTCCACATAAACCTCATAAGTAAACTACAGAAATCTATTATAAAAAGGAGTGTGAAGTTCATTGAAAGAATATACGTATACAAAATGAAAACTGATAATATGATCTTTAAACTTGCAGTCTGAGAAAAAGACTGCTAAACACAATGAAAATAAGCCTGTAGCTGACAATGACTTGAACAGATTGGAGAGAGATAAAAAAGGAAATATAGCATTATCTAGTGTCGAGAAATGCGCAAAAGGTGATGTGTGCTGGGCATGGAACCAGTGACTGAGTATCAGGGCTGTGGAAAGAACTAAGGAACGTAATAGCAGTTATGTCCCAGGCAACCACAAGTCAAGGGTGGGAGGCATTGAGAAACAGATTGCGGGGATACCTAAGAGGACAGAGAGGTTTCAAAATATGAGCTAGCTCTAGCGCCAGCTGAGCAGAAGTAATGACTCATCTGGACAAGTATGTCCTTTTCTGGGTTCTCAATTTCAAGGAAGATGTGGAATAGTCGGAAAAAAAATTCAAAAGAGAATAACAAGGTGATCATAGTCTTAGAAAAAATGACTTGGCAGGAAAATTTAAATGAATTGGACATATTCTAGCCTAAAAGAAAATGGAACCGAGGGCGGACATAATAAGAGTCTCAAAGTATCTGATAAAGTCCTTAAAAAAAAAAAAAAAAAAGGAATTATTTGTTTTCTATGGTCATGGCGAGACAGAAAAGAAGTTGATGAGCTCCAAACTGCAGCAAGAAATACCTATTTTTTTTTATGATCAAAACTATTGCCACCAACATCCTCAAATTCTTATATTAAGGATACTGAAGCAATGTATTTCCTAGCAGGCTGCGAAGTATTCATTTTGCATGTTTTTAGAAATAAGTTAGACAAGCATATTTCAGGAATGTCGTAGCTGTTTCCATCTTAAGGATGCTCAGATATTTTTGCAGTCCTGTAGGTTTATGATAACAAAAACTTCTCTCATCCACTGTTGAAATGCAAACTCTCAACTGTAGAAAGTTCATGTTTCTACCCCTGATAACTAAGTCCTCTATTTCAAATGTGCTTTTATTCATCACGGCCTTTCTGGGCAGAGCTTCCCATGAACTGCTGTAAGAAGTAATGCATTATGCTCCTTCAAAATATCCTTGAGGTTTGCAAAGGCTCAATGACACTTCAGCTGTTAGTGTACTATTACTGCCATCTGAGACCATCTGCAGATAGATATTGCCATGTGAACTTCCACATATATGGCTGTGTCCACTTTCTGTTTCATTAGATACGCTATGTTTTGACTAGGTGCTCTTTGTGGCAGGGTTTATCATTTAGTTTTTATTTCAGACAGTGCTGAGTAGAATAAAAGTTTCCCTCATCTGTGAATGTTAACTACCATGGTACTAGTAACAATAACGACACAATGTGCTAACAAACCAACACAGCAGGGTGCTATGGGAAAGCACACAGATTCATTTCAATGTGACTGGCCATGTGGCAGAAGGTGTTTGCAGATGGTTTGGTGTCACTTTTGTCTATATTCTTTCCATGGAAAACAGCAGCATTGTATACAAGTGGTGAGTGCACAGTAGTTTCTATTCACCCAGAGAAGACATACTCTTATTTATCTGGCACTTTCTGAAACAATCAGAACTCAAAAAAGGTCCTTCTGTTTAGCTTAGACTTTTCCTCACTGGCAGCCACACTTCCCCTTATTCTTAATCCTAGAACTGTTACTCATTAAGCGTTTGCTTAATGTCTTACTTCATTAAGTGTTTGCTATATGTAAAGCATCCACCAATAAAACACTGATAGCAAAAAATAATGGTAGCTTTGAACATAGATAACGAATATACTCCAGCTTTCTGGTCTGAATTTGTTATAACCCAGCCTTCACCTTGTAGTGACTTCATCTTACGAAGCACAAGCCAACCAATGAAGTTGTAGAACTTACCTTTCATGAAAAAGAGGTCTCTGTAAATATATCCATACTTCTCTTCCTAACATGCCTGTGATCGTTTATCCCTTTCACATTCTCTGGTTAAATTCACATTGCTTTCTATATCACCAAGAGCAGGCAGGCAGCATTACTATTCTTTACTTCCCGTTTTTTTCCAAGTATTTGTCAGTATTCTCTATCTTATGAGTTGCATTGCTAACTAAGTAATAATAGCCATGCTGGCTGGGAACAGAAGTCCATTTAATTTGTCAGTTTGTAACAGAGTTCAAGAGCACAAGAATACAAAAGACAAGGTCATGAGCATTCCCCCAGAATACCTTCCCACATTGCAAGTATCTAAGGCTCAGAGAAGAATGTCAGGGACAAGTCTATATGTAATCTTATGGCCTGTAGTAAAGTACATTCAGGATCATACCTACGATATAAGGAGATTCCAAAACTTTCCTTCACAACCTTAGCCTGTAAAACTTATAAAGTAGACATGCAAAGTGCTCATTGATCAGAAAGTCAGCAAGACAGACAGCTTCTCTCTTTGGAGCCTATGTCCCCAACAGAAGCAGATTATCATAAGTACAGTATTTCCACACGTAGTGAGTTTTCCCCTCAAAAAACCAAACATGGTGCCCACAGGCAGTTCACTGACCACTATATTAAATCGAGATTTCTGAGTGCAATAAATAACAAATGTAACTGGCAGATACATTTGTCAGCAGAAATATCCGAGGATGGAAAGCGATTGACTGAAAGCTATGCTAATGAATGACAAAACCTGTTTTGTTCATTTTCACGTGTCAGTGACCTGGGAGAAGGAATTGTGGAAAGGTTTTAAGTTTCCTGATTAAATAAATCTGAGCAATGACAGTCAATGCGATAAAAGATAAGACCTTAGTTACAATTAAGCACAATTAAGCTGGAAAATGAATAGGGATAGGTGCTTGTACTTGATCCAGCAGGGAATATGTGATATGGAGAAAACATCAAATAAACAGGCAATTAGCATCTTCAGAACAATATATGTAAATACTGAAAGTATGACAAAGCCAATTATAATATCTCATCTATGTTTATCTTATAAGATAATTTTATTTAGCAATATCTGAGAGGCATAACTTCAATAATCACTACTTCCAATTAACCCACAGCCAAGCAGAACGGATGCACTGCTTAAACACAGTAAGTATTCACTTCCCTGCAAAGCAGCTACTCACTAACAACTACAAAGCTGAGAAATACGTCCAAACACAAAAAGTGTGACTGTTTGTTAACACGCAGAAGAACTTACCCACAGGGTCGGTACGTAAATACGATATAACTTTCTTCATCACTTCTTTCAATGAATGTAACACACGTGTACTTCTCCCAGTGTCGCATAGCCTGTTTGAACATGGCGCGCTGCGTGCCTGCAAGAAGCGCATGACATGAAATAAGAGACTTCTCCAACTGCTCCCTCAAATCAGACTTTAATATCAGGAATATAGGCCTGTAAGGAGTTACTTGACCAGAAGTCCAGCGTCACAGCACTCCCATATGCTGCTAAACTTCAGTCTAAGGGACGTTCAGATCATCAGCTTGCCATAATGTACCTGCCTGTAAGGGGACCGCTACTGACTGACATACCCTAGCAAACATAAAACCTGCAATAAAAAGCACAGCTATGTTACACAAGAGGAAGAGAGCAAAAGAAATTTAGTGTGGCTTACGTGCCTCCGTTTGTGTATGTGCTAAGCAATTTCCCAGATGAAATTATGGCGTGGGAAAGGGAAGGGAACTGAAAAATCCTTGGTTCCTTTCTATCTAGTCAGAAAATACATCAATGGATAAATTCCTATAGTCTTCAAATCTGGAGACTAATTTAACATCAGCACACCAACCAGGGCATCTGAATTTAATAACGTTGTCTCGAGCAGGGACCATTTTCCATTTCTTTCCATCCAAACCTTTCAGAAATCAAATTATTCACCAAAAGGGGAAAAATTTTGTTACTACACAAAGCATACCTAGATTTTTTTTTTAAAAAAGAGAAACACATTCAGAAACAGGCTAGATGCAGAAGAAGCCAAACCAGGTCTCCACAGAGCTCAAGGCCCTGTGCGTGCTGGCTGCCCACACGTGCTTCAGGTAGCACAGCAAAGCAGATTCACTGCCTAATAAGAGACAAGGCTTATTAACTTAGAGACAGTACCTGAGAATATTGTTGCTGAGCTAGAAATCCACAAAGAACTGTACTCAGCATGAATTTGCTGGCAGAAATATATCCACCTTGCATTCTTTCAAAGCTACGTTTCAGCAGAGAATAGATAACTCGGGGCATGGGTGATGTTTGCTTGTTTTTAAAATGCTTTAACTTAAAGACAACAAAATCTCAAAGTTTATAAAAACAGTGGGTACAAATCATACCATGATCCTAAGAATTAAAGGTTATTTCATCCTGTATTGCCCTTTTATCATTAACCAACGTTTGTCGAGCTTTAAAACTTACCTTTCATTATGAAAATAAATGTTCAGCATGTAAATCTTTTACTTAGTTTACAAACATTCTTCCAAAAGATTGTTATCCAAAAACAAAGGTTACATACCCTGTAAATACCCAGATTAAAAGTTTTACTAGAACAGTTTGTTTGGAAAGAAGGTCTCTGATTTCTTTGCAGACATGTGCATACAACATGTGTGAATTTGCATGTTTCTTTAGGCTTCCTGTATTACTGTGCACAATAAGATGCTGTTATGTATCGTTTTCCATCCATCTTTATTCTTCTCTATATTCCTTTTTGTTTTAAATTACTGATTATATCCACACTGATACCGATCCACTTACATTATTCAGGAATGATAAATGTTCTAGCTTTTTTCTAAATTTCCATGGTAAGAATTACATACAAATATTGAAGCCAGCTTTTTCTTTTTTGTCATGTATAGTAATTAGAAATCTGTTTGAAAGCCAAATTGAGGAATTACAAAACACATTTAAGTCATTTAATTGAGTGAAATCAGTTTAGCAAAATACATGTCCCACTAGTTAATTCTGTTATATTCTTAAACTAAATAAACATACTTTTTTTTTTTAATATAACAAATTTCAATACATTCTGTTACTTAGGCTCCCAAAAGCAAACATAACAAAAGAAATATCAGACAAACAGCCTTCCCTATCTAAAACATACCTAAATATCTTTATTACACAGCTTGCCCTTGGGAACAATTTATTAAAGGATGGCTAACATTTTCAAAACAGTTGTACTCCCGGCCTGATCCCGCAGAAATCTTTCCATAGTGTGACTTTACTATAAATAAATAAATAAAAATAAACCGTATTCTTTCTCCCTATATAAAGCTGAAGACTTACCTGTGAAATTTCCACCTATTACGTATGGAATGACACCCCCTGGCCATATTCTTTCTGTTCGCGATGTAGCAGCTCTGGGAAATCTGTTCTTCTCATTTTTCCCTGAGAATTTTACTGTGGTTCTTCCTTTAGATGTATTATTTTGCTCAAAGCCTGTAACGACAATTAAAACGCTAATTGAGATCGTTAAAAAGAAAAAAAAAGAAAAGAAAAATAAAGAGAGAACCATTATTGAATAATTATTTTCCATGACGTCAAAGTCGTATTATTATTTCTATATGTCCTTTAAAAACAGGACACTACTATTATCAACAATCTATTACTACTGGTTTTACAGGAAATGCTTGAAACGGCATGACTAAATTTTCAACTTCCAAAGGTATCAATTTGCACACAAGCTTATTGACTGAAAGAAACACTGTCTGCATAACTGCATCTAAATTTTATCACCTAACAATAATAATAATAAGAAGAATACACTTCCTTCTTTTGTGTCTTTTATTTGCTGTTGTTGTTTTGGTTTGGGTTATTTTTGTTGTTTGTTTGTTTAGTTTTAAGAAAGTTTGGATTTCTCCAGCAGGGGAGAAAAGGCAGACCTCAAGCAGTCACGACATTTACTGTCCCTTTTCAATTTTATTCCTGGATCTGGAAAAAAAAAAAAAAAAATCAAGCACATGGCTATTCCTAGAGCAATGGAGAAAAAGAAGTCCATTACATTGACTTTTGTTATCATGAGCTATCTGGAAAAATAGATAAATTATTTGCAAAGTAAACTGTAAACTTTTGGAAAAAGTATAACCATAATAAAGTTAGTTGTTCTCTTCTGAAGCAATCCGTAAGTTAGGATGGGTATCAGTGAAGATAATTAAAATGAATCACTTACGCCAAGTTGCATATACGAAAGACAGCAAGCTCTTATGCAATACTGAAATGTCATAAAAATGAAGACTATATAGCAGCAAAGTCAGTTAGAGTGTTGTGGTTAATCTTAGAAGATATACTCTGATGCATGTAGACGCACTGTAGCGTGATTAAAATGCAGTTTCACATATTTTCTTTTGAGAAGTTGACATCCCATGACACTTGTATGAAATATGGCAAATGCACTTGGCCAGTATTAATGGAGATTCACTGATATTGCGTGCTGAATTCAACTGCATTCATACTGACAGAAGGATGATGTGTTTATTTAGTGCAACACACCGTGAAAATTCCAAATTGTGTGACTCATCACAGTGCCCCAAATGGATCCAGAGGAAAAAGTATTACATTAACAGCTATCACATTCCTTAAGCACTGAACAGACATTGTATTGATAAAAGTAGAACTTATAAATGTGACCATAACCATGCTAAGTAGCTAAGGAGATCTTAATATGAGAGGTAAAAGCACATTTAGATCTTATACTGGAAATAGACCTCTAAGAAAACGTGATAAAGAGCTAATCTCTTCATTACTATTCTCATACTTTTTAAAGTTTGCTTATGCTAACAGTAATACAGAGACACTTTAGTATGTTAAAGCATTGTAATCATTAATGCTCATGTTACATCATCATATCAAGAAACCTGATAATTTAAACAGTAAGAAATACCAGAGCCAAATCTTCTTATCCTTTCTATAAGCTGATAGAGGGCACCTCGCTTTTTTGACATCCCATGCTCTCCAAAGCCACCTTTAAAAACAAAAAAAAAAAATAGAAAGGATTTAGAAAAGTTAAGAACATGGAAATCTACAGCTACAGCAACTACATAGCCAGAGGAGATTGGGAAGTATCCTTCAAGAAGTGCTACGTGTCTTTAAGGAAGTTTAACATTCCTGAATGACTTGCCTACAAATTCTTCAAATATCCTTGACAATGAAGCAAAAAGACGTTTGTAGCTGAAATTTTTTTCTAAAATGCATTCCAGGATGTAAGCCAGCATGTCTATGTTATTCAGACAAGTCACAGTAATTACATCATTTAATTATTATTTGAAGCTTTTTCTTCCTTCTGGTGACACTGACATTCTCTGAGCCGTATTGATAGACAGCTAGAAGCCCTACTGTCACAAAAGTTTCCTAAATGGATGCCATAATCTTCCCATTTGAAGGAAAAGGGTGAAAGCCACTTTAATATGTCTAATTGTACCATGAAAGTTTTTGGCTTTCTTTGTCAACATGAATGTGCAATGGACTCTCAGAGGCTTTCAAATGTCACATGCTGGCGTGTATTGCAATAAGACCTTACAGGGTTATGTGTGTGTCCTTTTGGTAATCAATAAGTAATAAAAATTCAACTAATAAATGGCTTATTTTAACATCTATCGTGTTACTTCAAGAAATGTACAACATTTCTGAATCTATCATGTACATCAGATGCATGTCACAAGCCACCTTCACATCTAATTCTGCTGTGGTTGCAAGTGGCTTTGAAAATACATTTAAGCTCAAAGAAAGAGCACTGACAACACCACACAGGCCAGTAAATCCTCAGAATTGTTAAGAAGGCTTTGAGATTTTTTCTGTGTTTGTACTAAGTTATATTTAACAATCAATAACTGTCACAGGACAAGAGAATTTTCAAACTACTCATGCAGCACCAAAAGTCAGATAGAAACAAAGAGACCACCAAAATATCCAACCACAGAACAGACCTTTCCGTATTTCCCATTAAAAATTTCAATACACATGTGGAAAATATATTTCTTAAGAGGCAACTTAAAATCATACCATATAAGGCAAGTGAATCCATGGGCTGCTCAGTGAATAACAATGTGCCTAATTATTTGGATTACACTGTCACATAGTTGCTAGCTCTCTGGAGACAAATTTTCCAAATTTTTTAAGCATTTTAGATAGATGAGGTAATAGTTCAACACATTCCTTCCCAACATGTTATATGGGTAACTGCAATATACAGTAAAGAGAATGTAACCATTTAATTGCTTCTATCGGTCATTATTAATGCAACCGCCTCTAATGTTAACACTTATATCATAAAAATGCAAATAGAGTCCCAACAAATATAAAATAAACTTTGTAAAAAAAAAAATAGTAACTTTAATGTAGCAGAAAAAGACTCCATTACTTACTGAAAGAAACTACTATATTTATTTCTAGAAAAAAAAAATAAAAATCAAGTATCATTTCTTTGATAACACAGCCCGTGTAATCCAATTAGTGAAAAAAAAAATTGAAGTACCTTACGTAACTAGTCTGGCTTATATGAATGATTTACAGTCTTGCCAAACTGCAGTCTAAATATATTATATATACTTTCTGATTTTAATCATATTTGCAGCATATTTTTTTTGCACTTGTAATGGTATACACAGCAATGCTGTAATCTTTGCTCTTGCTTCTATTCACAATAATTATATATTATAAATTGCATGACTAAAACAAGATGCTCAGAGTAAGCATCTGATCTTGCAAATCCATACTTTAATTCTCACCAGAATGATTAGTCACAAAACGTAGATCAGAGCCTGTTAGCTCAGGATTTTAATTAGTAGATGCAATGAAAAATGTAACTCTGCAATTCTATCTTGATAGTTTATGTCCAAGTACTTAACCCTTCTAAATGATGTCATCTGTATTTCTGAAGATCAACAACAGAATAACAAGGTGGAAATAATTCTTTTAATTAATTGTCCCTGCATCTGTAAGGAAGATAAACCCTTAATTTGTTTTGTATTTAGCAGGCATTTTACCTTCCAGTTCCAAGTTGCTATCTAATATTAATAAGATAGTTGTTGGTAATGTCTTTTGGAAATTTTGCAGTTTGCAAAAACCAGCTAAACTCCAACCTATGCATCAAAATGTTCTGACTTAGAAAATTACATACGTGATTTGTTGTGTTAAAAAAAAAAAAAAAAGACTTCTCCTACTCTGTTTCAAAAAAAAAAGTCAAGACTGCTGAGTGTTCATTGAGAACAGGTACAAAAACAGTACTTTCAGCAAAGTTTGTACTCCAAGTCCATTTTCCACTTATTATTTCCCTTGCATTGATTCCTCTTGCACAGTAAGGGTAGACAAATTTGATCCAACTCCATTAGTAACCCTCAGTAGGATAACTCAATATCCTAAATAAGGTACTGTGTTGATTGGCAAAGATAATGAGCAAACCTCAAGGCAGGTAGGTAAAGAAAATAAAATATATAATGTAAAACATTATAAAAACACCTTAGATCAATATACTTTAACAACAACAACAGAAGAGAAAGAGAGAAAATAGAGAGATCTTTGGAGTTAAAAGGGAAAGATACAGAAGTAAAAGGAAGATCAACAGGCCAAAGAAATCACTTGACTGAGTGCACATCCAGGGGAAATGACTGACCACACTGTCTACACTGTCAGCAAATCTAGGGGCTGAAATATTTTCAAAGTCAATTAAAAGTATTTTGTTAGAGGGGGAAGGGCAGGAAGAAACCATGGACAATTTACATTTTTTCAAACCCAGTCTTGATCTAGAAAAGAAACAAGTGGTACTAAAAGGAGAAAAAATAAATTTCCAGGATATTAAAACAATATCGTCTAACTATAATGAACAGTTGAACTACCCTATTTATGTTGATATGGAGAAGTTAAAATGGAAAATCTTCTTTTGTCCTTTCTGGCATTCCTCAAAATGATTCTTATTTTCTAATATTAGGAATCATCAAGGAAAAGAGCAGTTGAGTTCAGCAACACAATGAACACGAGTAATAAAGAACAAATTTCGGCTATACACGTATAGATTCTTTACTATGCATAAATATTTGCTTTCACACCTTTCCCACTCTGATTTTTTTAGTACCATATTCTGAAAGCTTACCCATTTTTGAGTTTACAAATCACAGCCTGATAGCATGGCTATTTTCAGACGTGAGGTAGGCAGATATTTAGACATGGACTATTTTTTCAGACACACGCATACATATATCTACAAGTGAATAGTATCTCTCTGTCTGTTTCTCTGAAAATTAATCAGATTATGGTGTCTGGCACTAAGGCACCATATGTGACAAGGCAAACGATAGCAAGGATAACAATGTTCTTGTGTTGCTTCTGGTGTGCAGATTTAACAACGAAAACAACAAAAGGTGCTGTTGTAATTCTAGAATCCCAGTCTCACCTCCAGGATTCCATTCCACATGCTTTTTCCAAAGGGCATCTCAGCTCCACTATCAGGAACTTGCAGTTGAAAGTAAAGCTTTGCACAGCTTCCTTTCCCACATTACTACCTGCAGAGAGGACTGGCAGAGATTTCTCCCAGCTTCTGTTCTTTGGTTCAACAAGTTGTTTTGCCCTTTGTTTGCTTTTTAAGCAAGAGATTCGGGAATACAGTTAAATTTTCCCCTTTTGACTTAACTAAAACCAATTCATGTTCATTGCCGAGTAACTTTTTAAATCATAAATGAAACTAATATTATCGACAAAGTTTTGAAACAGTGACTACCTTCTATTTAGAAGTAAATAAAAGGAAAAAAACAAGTTAAAAAGCAAGGTTGAAATATCATACCTGTGTTATGGCCAAGTCTTTCATTGGAGTGCTGCGTAAGGTCAATTGTCCTGTCAATTTGAAAGATTTTTAAGTCTTCATCATCTAAGGCAATATCTCCCCAAAAGACAGCTTTAAATAAAAAAGAGCTCAATTTAATTAAAGAATTTATTTTGACATCAAAACCAATTTGAAGACTATATTGCCAGGTTACAAACCTTAGGAAAATATATGACAAATATACATTTATATTATATACTTTTTTTTGTACTGGTTTTTATTTTTATACAAAGAAAGAAAACTATGAAAAGACGAATCATTTGTTTCAGTATTCTCAAATTTTTACAGGCTAATTTCTTTAGTAATTGCATAAAAGCCATCATATAAATGTAACATTAATCACGTAGTAAATTTTCACCATATCTAATGATTTGTACACGTAAATACAGTAGAGGAGACTAAGAACCACTGAAAGACATTAATATTTGAATTACAAATAAAAAAAAATGGACAATACTGAAAGAACACAATCTTTATTTTTCCTAACATCCTTCTGAAAATGAAACATATGTGAAGTCATTCTTAACATTCCAATTAATTTCTGTATTACATTACGTTTGCATCCGAGAATTGATATGTTTTTCATTATCCTCTTGGTTTATTTCTATGCTGTCCTTCAATGTTTAAACTCACTATAAGGATTCCTTCAAATACGTTACTTTTCAAAACCTCACTCTTTTTCATCTTCTTTTTTTCATCCTTTCCTAAGCCTTTTTGGTGTGTTTCTTTTCTCTTTTCCTGTTCTCTTTATGACTCACAGGTGTTGGGTTTTTTTTTGTTCAACTTTTTCATAGTTAATTCATCTTCCCTAAACTGCCATCACAACTCAGTGAGTAAAGATATAGGGTAAGAATCTTGAGCATCTGCAAGAATTCGGGATCTATACCTTCAGCATACAGACCATTTTTTGCTAAGATTTTATCATGAAATCTCCCAGTCAACACAAAATTGTCATTAAAACTGAACTGAGAAAGCCATATCCTCAGCTAGCATTAATGAAGTCAACAGAATATCACCAATTAACATGAGCACAAGTGACACCCTCTCTGCTCTACTTACATTCTAACTGATTCTAAGCACTAACTAGTTTTATTTTACTGTCATTTGGTCAGCTTCTTTAACATACATACACACTTACATACATACATACATACATACATACATACATATATATATATATGGGTATATATGCAGTGATCATTCATCCAATAATACTTTCAGTGGATTCCTGTTACTGTAAAACTTATTTATTCTTATTGATTGATGCTATATTAACGATATTAACGATAATTTAATCAAATTCATACCTAAAAATCTTTACTTAAGTAAAAGTTATGTATTCCCACAGAACTTCCAGATATTACATTATATCTTCATTTGTCTATTATTTTTTCTTGAACTCATAGCAACTAGAGGAAGAAATCACATTAAAAATTCCTTTTGTCTGCCTTATAAAATTAAGTTAAAAAATAAAATAGAACGCCTTCATGAACCTCAAAAAAAAAGAATTTTCAATTAAATCTGCAAACATCTAAATATGAGTATTTTCACATATATATATTTCTTTGCATTAAAAGATGTTTATTAAAAACAGAAAGTATTTGAGACCATTTTTAAAACTTTTCAGTCACTTCTCATACATTTGTGAATGTTCTCCTTCCAAGAGTTGCTATTTCTTTATGTATGTTGTTGCTATTTCTTTATATATGATCCTTTCTTTGGCTAACCTATCCCCACTAGTGATAGCTTTTACCGTCAAGTCAAGAGACAGAGTTAATGGATGCTCTAGTTGATTTCTGCTTAAATTTTCTAGGAAAAAAAAGATCTGTAATGGTTAGAGTTTTGAACAGTGAGAGGAGAAATTCTCTGAGTTAAATACTATTTATTATTCCTATTATGAAAATCTTCTAGAGGTTTCTAGTGGATATCAGTCATAATAGGGGCCACTGTATAAGCACGATGAAAAACTGCAAAATTTGATATGCCAAAAAAATGATAATAGGAAGAAGCTATTTTCACTTTAGAAAGACATCCACAGAGTTCACACATGTTGTCCAAATCAAACTTGAGGAAGTGCTAAAAATTAACACCGAGCCCATTTTTCTTTCCTGGTTACACTGAGAGTTTACAAAACAAAGGTTCTGAATTAACAAAAATTGCACTCAGAGACAGAAATGTATCAGCAGAAATCACTTTGGTTTCAGTACATAACACTGATGTATAAATACGAAATGAAAACTGAAGGCAAACTGAGCTCTAAACAAGTATATAATGTAGAAAAAGACTAGGTTGAAAATATGTCCTCTCCAGTTCTGATGATTCATCTTTAACACTTCACTGTGGTGATGTTCACTTTGCCATGAAAGTACAAATAGCATGATTTGAGATGAGTTTGTCTGACAAATGCAGTGAATTTCCTTGCACAGACACTAAGCAAAGTATCTTACTGTTTAAGCAAGGCGCAATAAATGATTGCTGGAAAACAAAGCTATGCTATTTTTTTTTTTTTTTAAAACATCTGGACAGACAGCTAGAATTGGTTTTGACAGTAACCAAGCACAATCTTAAGTTTAATAATAATACAGCTGTGGTTGTACTACAAACAGTGCTAAAGCAACTTTGACCCAAATGTAAACAAATAATCTTCGAATGATATTTTCTAATGTATGAGCTAAATATGAATAACAAGAAAGAAACAGATGTGATTGCTTGCAAAGTATAATGCAATGCTCATAGTTTTCTTCAGGCTACAGTTGTTTTACACAAGTCAGTTTTGTTTAACAGGTCAAGTAAAAATCCAGTAGGGTAAAAGGCAGACACATGGAAAGAACTACCACATTCAACTTCAGCAGCAAATGAGTAAGTGCCACTTGGCTTCGACAGAAATCAATCCGAGATTTTCTGAACTAATTTCAGTGCAACTGGAAAGAAATTTATTTGGCAAGCGAGGAAAAAGCAGGTAATTGTTTCTTTTTATATTCCCCTTTTTCCAATGAAAAGTCCGCATTTCAACCTTCAAAGCCTGAAGCAGAAACTCACCTGACCATTAAACCAAACAAACGGAAGAAAAAAAGAAAAACAATCACCACTTCTGTAACTCTTAAAACTATGCTTTAATTTTTCAGAACATCTGTGGAAATCTCACAGTACTTTGTAACAAGAGAGGATTGTTCCCGTCTCCTGCCTTAACATTTTTATAGCCTGAAACTATCTGAAGAAGTTGCTTTGTATACTTCATCTTGTCACACGCCAATTCGAACCTTATGGAAAACAAGCAGTGGATTGCTTGGGTATGTTAGGTATGCTGAAGAATGCGCTAAAGAGCAGGTATGGATTTAATAGGTCCCTTCAGGAAACTTCTGCCAGAATTGGCATCTTCAGCTACACACCTCCTTTGTTCTTCACAGATAATTCAGCCATAAGTTTGCGTCAGAAAATTGACACAGAACTGATAACCAGTTTTGCTTAACATGCCAAAAAATAAAAATTGAGGTAACAGTAGAAGAACTTTGAAAATGATCCAAACAATGCTTAAACTATCTGTTTCGGTTTGCTTCACACTCTCTCTTATTGTCTACTCAGTGATCAGGAAAACTTGATGTTTACAAGCAAATTTCTCATTTGATTTGAACATGCAGGAGTGACGACTTGGGAAAAACCTGCTGAAAAACTACAAATCTGATACGTACACTTCTTTATACTAAACATTGTACTAAATTTTATACAATTTCACTTTTCTTATTTTCTGGAGGGAGAAGGTTGCTTTATTTCATTTACATTTTATACGGGCACTACATTATGCATTTATACAAATTCAACTGGCAGAGAGAATATACATAAATATATGTATATCTTTCAGGAAGAGGACCAAAATTTTACACTGTAAAACCTTTTCTATAGTAGTAAAAGAAGATTATGCATAAACATACATTCTGTTAATACAGAAAATGCTCCCCACCTATAGTTGCATGAGATCAGAACTGCATCTCGAAGCACTCAGCCTTCACCTTCAAAAAGGCCCAATTAAATTAAGAGACAACATTCTCACACACGAGGCAGTTAGGCTTGTCACATGCAAACAACTGCCTCATCATCACAGAAACAAACAGGAAAATAATTATACCGTAGAAGACATCTGCCATCCAGGGATATACATCTTAACATTACCAGACAGATAATGTGATAGAGAAAGAAAAATAAAATTATTTCTGACATAGAGATAAAGCACAGGAACTTCATTTTAAATGTGGCAACACAAACTATTATTATGGATAGTTAATATTTATCTGCAAAGCTCTCTTTGCTAAAAAATACTCTCTTTCAACAGGACCACGACCACATCAAATATCCACTTTTCCAGATGAACAAAATATGGTACTAAGAATACAAAGTACTGAAAAACAGAAGGACAAAGGAAAAACATTAAAATTATTTTTAAGGGTATTTACACCCACAGTATGAATCAACCATCATACAGCTTTGGGACAAAAAGAATTTTCATGACTTCCTAGAAGATGGTCAGAAGTAATGGAGCATGAGTGAAATCGTACTGTTCAATTCACAGAGCTGAGATATGCAGCAGAATGGTTCTTCGGGTATTAAAACTACTGATTAGCAAAAACACCACAAACTACATACAGAAATATATTCACTATGATTGAAGAAAAAAATTATCTACATCAAACAGATCCACGTGTCCCACAGCTATTAATTTTTTAAAACTATAAGCAGCTATTTTAAAATAAAATATATTGCTGATGGTATTCACATTGATATTAGTAAAAAAGTAGAAAATGCAACCAAGATTGTTACTGCTCTCTACTAGAGTGCAGCAGCATAGCAAAGGCAATCCAGCTGTATCTTGGGCTCACTAATTAGCACCCAGCTACCAAGGACAGCTCTACAAGAGCAACACTGCAGTAGACCGCTAAGATCCAAAAAGCATTACATGCTTTGTTTTGTTTACTTTGCAGGCTAGAAGAACATTAAATTCATGGACAGTGTTATCGTGTTTGGATAACTTTTGAAAACAAGAGTAGAAAAGCTAATATTTTGATGAATTAGGAACCTAT